GGCCCAAGTGCCCCCAAAGATCGCCAAAGAGGCCCAAGACGGCCCCAAGAGGCCCCCAAGACGGCCGAAGAGGCCTCCCAGACGCTCAAGATGGCCTCCAAGACGGCCCAAGAGCCCTCCAGGAAGTCCTCCAAGAAGGCCCGAAAGGGTCAAAATGACCTCCAGACGGCCAAAATGACCTTCAAGATGCCCACGTGTTCTCCGAAGGCTTTCCAAACCGATTCGGGGAACACATGGTCCAATAGCTTGGCAGGTCTGGCCTCAACGTTCGGCCACATAGGCGTTTCCACAAAGGCAGGGGGCGGCGGTGATTCGCCGTAGGCGTCTTCGATCCGCCGCCCCCTGTCGATTCATCGCAGTGGTGCCTGGCATGCCAAATTATATCGATTTTGATTTTGGTTATTTTTCCCAAAGAATTCCCCCTGGAGCTTCGGCCCGTCCCGCCGGCCACCCGGAAGGCCCGCAATTCCCCCAATTGTTCGCTCAAGATGGCCTCCGAGGTGGTCCCAGACGGCCTCCAAGTCCGCCCAAGATGGTCCAAGACGGCCTCCCAGACGGCCCAAGAGAGTCCAAGACGGCCCAAGAGGGCCCCCCCGAGGCCTCCAAGACGGCCCAAGAGGCCTCCAAGAGGTCCTCCAGGAGTGCCCGAAGAGGCCAAAATCATTGATTTTCCTCAGGTGTTTGAAGGATGTTCGCATTCGCTTCTTCTCGGCTTTCCGACGATGCAAGACAGCCCAAGAGGCCCCCATCGCCCCCACAGCGCCCAAGAGGCCTCCAAGATGGCCTCAGGACTGCCCAAGAGGCCCCCAAGACGGCCCCAAGAGGGCACAAAGACGACCCAAGAGGCCGCCAAGACACCCAAGATGGCCTCTAAGACGGCCCTGGAGCACCCCAAGAGGGCCCCAAGTCGGCCCAGAAAGGCCCCCCAAACGGCTTCCGACGGGCCAGGAGCCCACCAAGATGGCCGAAGGTGGCTCGAAGCTGGCCCAAGACGGCCCAAGAGGCCTCCAAGAGGGCTTCAAGGAAGGCAAGAAAAAAAGGCGAACAATACTGATTTTCCTAAGTTTTCGAAGGATTTTGACAGTTGCTTTGTTTCGGCCTTCCGACGGCCCGAGACGGCCCAAGAGCCCCAAAGATCGCCCAAGGATCGCTCAAGAGGCCGCCAAGATGGCTCCAGAACGGCCCAAGAGGCTCCCAAGACTGCCCCAAGAGGCCCCCAAGACGGCCCAGGAGGTTCTGAAGACGCCCAAGATGGCCTCCAAGACGGCCCTGGAGCATTCCAAGAGGGCCCCAAGTCGGTCCAGAGAGGCCCCCCAAACGGCTTCCGACAGCGTCGGACGGGCCAGGGGCCCACCAAGACGGCCGAAGATGGCACTAAGATGGCCCTAGACGGCCCAAGAGGCCTCCAAGAGGGCCTCCAGGAAGGCCCGAAAAGGCCCAACTCATTAATTTCCCATGAGTTCTTGAAGGATTGTGGCATTTGCTTTTGTTCAGCCTTCCGACGGCCCGAGACGGCCCAAGTGCCCCCAAAGATCGCCAAAGAGGCCCAAGACTGCCCCAAGAGGCCCCCGAGACGGCCGAAGAGGCATCCAAGACGCTCAAGATGGCATCCAAGACGGCCCAAGAGCCCTCCAAGACGTCCTCCAAGAAGGCCCGAAAGGGTCAAAATGACCTCCAAGCGACCAAAATGACCTTCAAGAAGCTCACGTGTTCCCCGAAGGCTTTCCAAACCGATTCGGGGAACACATGGTCCAATAGCTTGGCAGGTCTGGCCTCAACGTTCGGCCACATAGGCGCTTCCAAAAAGGCAGGGGGCGGCGGTGATTCGCCGTAGGCGTCTTCGATAACGCCAACGGCTCAATATGCACTGATGATTCCGATCCACCCCGAATGATGTTCCCAGATGCGCCAAGGCAGCACCGAGACACACCGACGCGACTCTGATATATCAAATTATGATAGAGAGGGGGCCAGCGGCAGGGGGCGAGACCCATATATATATATATATATATATATATAGATAGATATATATATGTATTCTCATACGCACCTCTCCGAGGGAGTAGAGCTCAGAGGGGATTAATGCGTCCGTGCGTGCGTCCGTCTTTGATTTTTCTGGCCGTTTCGCTCGGGACATCCTCGAAATTCTGAAAATCGGTGGCACCCCTCACGCAGATCGTGAAGGAGAGGTCCATCAACACATAGGAATTTCAACATTTTAACATAAAACCTTCAAAAACACATGGTAATTTCAATAATGTCGACACCGATTCTCAGAGAATGGCGGTTTCGCCTGAGACATCCTCTCAAAATCGAGCCCCAGACCCCTCCTCGGAGCCTCCTGGGGGCCTCCTGGAACCTCCTGGGGCCTCCTGGGGCTTTCTGGACCTTCTGGTACCCCAGACCCCGCCTCGGAGCCTCCTGGAGTTCTCCTGGGCCTGCTGAGGCCGCCTGGGGCCTCCTGGGGCCTCCTGGGGCTTCAGAACTACATGCACACACAGAGACACACATCACGCCCAACACATCACACGCTAGACAAACATAACATACACACACACACACACACACACACACACACACACACACACACACACACACACACACACACACACACACACACACACACACACACACACACACACACACACACACACACACACACACACACACACACACACACACACACACACACACACACACACACACACACACACACACACACACACACACACACACACACACACACACACACACACACACTACACACACACACACACACACACACACACACACACCGACAACACACAAAAAGCACGCACCACACAAAGCACACATCACACACACAACACTCACAATCCTGGGGCCTCCTGGAGCCTCTTCTGGTATCCAAGTCGGGCCTCCTGAGGCTTCCTGGGGGGCCCTGGTACACACATCGCAAGGTGTGGCAACCCCACTTGCGCTCGAGTGCGACTTCGCTGTTGCATGTCACTCCTGCTTCAAACGCCCCTTCAGCTTGTTGTATGAGCCTGGGCACACACGTGCCACTTGTATATATATATATATATATATATATATATATATATATAATATCAGAGTGAGGGGGCCGAACGGTCATTCACTGTCCCTGGGTGCGTGGCTGAAGTGGATTCCGCGGTGCGGATTCGTGTTGTTGTTGTTTGTTGTTGTTGTTGTTTTTGTTGTTGTTGTTTTGTTGTTGTCGTCGTCCCACCCGCAACCCGCCCCGCGACCCACCCGCGACCCACCCCACCCACCCCGCGACCCACCCGCGACCCACCCGCGACCCACCCGCGACCCACCCCGCGACCCACCCCGCGACCCACCCCGCGACCCACCCCGCGACCCAACCCGCGACCCACCCCGCGACCCCCCCGCGGCCCACCCCGCGACCCACCCGCGACCCACCCGCGACCCACCCGCGACCCACCCGCGACCCACCCGCGACCCCCCGCGACCCACCCGCGACCCACCCGACCCACCCGCGACCCACCCGCGACCCACCCGCGACCCACCCGCGACCCACCTCGCGACCCACCCGCGACCCACCTTCGACCCAAACCACGTTCAAGGTACAAACCAACATTTTCGGCGCCTGCGGCGGGCTTTTTTTGCATTCCTTCCAGGTAAAGAGCCGCGACCCACCCCGCGACCAACTCGCGACCAACCCGCGACCCAAACCACATTCAGAGTACAAACCACATTTTTCGGCGCCTGCGGCGGGCATCTTTTGCATTCGTTCTAGGTGGAGAGACCGCGGCCCACCCGCGACCACGTTCAGGGTACAAACCAAATTTTTCGGCGCCTGCGGCGGTCATCTTTTGCATTCGTTCCCGGTGGAGAATCCGCGGCCCAGCCGCGACCCAAACCACGTTCAGTGTACAAACCAAATTGTTCGGCGCCTGCGGCGGGCTGCTTTTGCAGGAGGAGGAGGAGGAAGAGGAGGAGGAGGAGGAGGAAGAGGAGGAGGAGGAGGGGGAGGAGGAGGAGGAAGGTGACGACGACGACGACGTCTACGACGACGACGAAAAGGAGGAGGGGGGAGGATCGGGAGGGGGGGAAGAGGAGAACGATGAGGAGGAACATGACGACAATGGGAGGACGATGATGGAAGGACGAGGGGGGGAGAGGGAGGACGAGGAAGAAGAGGAGGAGGAGGAGGGACGAGGTGGAGGAGGAGGACGACGATGACGATGAGGACGAGGACGAGGAAGAAGAGGAGGAGGAGGAGGCGAGTCCGCCGGCTTGACGACGCCCGCGTCGCCCGCGCCCGCCCCCTCACTCTTATCCGCAATTGCGGGGTGCTACGTATATGTATGTGTGTGATGTCCCGCTATTCCGCTTGTCCACCGTGTCTGAACAGCGCTTGTCGGGGGGGGGGGGGGGGGGGCGGATGTGCTCTCCAACCGCTGAAAACCTGGCCAATTATGGTATGCTTGCGTTCTTACTCGCATGCCCACCACCATGTGAGGGAGGAGGGTGAGGGAGGAGGACGAAGAACAGGAGGAAGAGGACAAAGAGGAGAAGGAGGAGGAGGGGGTGAGGGGGGAGGGAGGGGGAAGGAGGCAAGAGGGAGGAGACAAGAGTGATGAGGAATGAGAAGCATGATCGTGAAGAAGTGACGTGCCCCATGACGAAGCCTCTGAGCTGAAATGGTAGTGCAAAGAAACAGGATGATAAGGGAGGAGAAGGAGGGAATAGGAAAAAGGGGCGAGGAGGAGGAACAAAGAAAAGAAGGAGGTAGAAGGGAGGAGGGGGTGGGAGGGCCAGGAAGGAGAAAGTGAAAGACGATGTGAGCACGGAGGGCATGGAGGGAGCAAGATAAGGTGGAGCGGGGAGGAGAAGAGAGGAAGGGGGAAACAGAAGGGGGTGGGGAAGAGACGAAGCAGGACGGGTGAAGGGTGAGGAGTCCAAAGAGGAATGGGGGAATAAAGAGAGGGAGGAAGAGGAAGAGGAAGGGGGGGGGGACAGGGGAGACATAATTTCCTCATCCCACGCCGCGACAGCACTCACGCGACGTGAACCGTTCGCTCGCACACGAAGCGATGTATAGCCTCGTGCGGCAAGCTGTACGTGGAAGTTCCGGCACCGCAGCCCTGCCATACTGAAATCGCCTCCACCCTCCTCCTCTTCGAGCTTCTCCTGCTCTTTGTTGTCCCTTCTCCCCCTCCTCCTCCTTTTCCTTCCTTCTGCGCCTCCTTCCCCGCCGTCCGCGCCCCTACTCTCCCTTACTCCCTCCCTCCTCCCTTGTACCCCCCTCAAAGATTCGCCTCAGACCTCTCCAGAGGTGCGTCTTTATCAGCACCTGGGAACAAGAGAACTCCCGGAGGTGATATGTATATATATATATATATATATATATATATATATATATATATATCGCTGACCCCCACCAATCTGAATTTTCCAATCCGCAGCCCCAGAGGTCCCGACCCCCTTTTCCCAAGGCCACAGTTTTGTCCAAACTCCCTTTTTGATGCCGGGGCCCCGGAGGGCCAAAATCGAAGAACCATACCAAGATTGGACAAAATCACACCGTCAGAGATCTGGGGGCCCTCCACTTGGCACGCCCGAAATGGGTGCAGAGAACATGGTACGGTGCCCAACAGCAAATGTTGCCCAAATGACAGCGGCTGCTGCCGGGCAGGCGACCTTTTGTCTTCAATGGACAGCGCCCGCGGCGACACCAACAGCGAATCCTGTTCAAGATGGACAAGCACTGGGGTCGGCCTTCGTGCCCGTCCTTTCCGTACCACTTTCGACCGCACCGATCCATGCCCCCCGCCCCGCCCGGCAGCTCCCCAGGCCGTCGGCCCATTGGGAGGCTGCCTGAAACAGGCCCTTCGGCACAGCAGCAGCCGGTGGTCCCTGCCCCCCGCGTCGCGGAGATGCGGCGCACTCAGGCCGCCTGAACGCGGTACCACTGGACCCAGAAGTTGAGTGCCACCGGGGCCTCCACATTGAGGAGGGGACAAGGGGAATGGGGAAGGAGGGGAAACGAGCCCAAGCCTTCGACGACATGATTTGTCCAGTCCGGGATGTTTTCCATTTTGGCCCTCTCGGCGGAGCAGTTTTCGGGCCCCGGGGCCAACAAAAACAGATATGCAACCGAAAAATAGCCCCGGGGAATGGGTCGAGACTTGTAGGGTCGCGCATGGAGAAATTACGTCGCCGGATGTCTGGGAGGGGGAAGAGGAGGATCATGCTTCTATATATATAGATATATATTTGATATATATATATATATATATATATATCTATATATATAGATTCCTCTTCCTATATGTTTGCAAGCCCGCGCGGAGCAAAAACCCGTCCCCCCACAAAGAAAACGGACTCCCAGGATCTGGGGCTTTGGGACCCTCCGGACGGGCCTCGAAGCGGCCCCCTGGACCTCGCAGGGCGTTTTGCCAAGCCTTCCCAGCACACCTAGGGCGATCAGGGGGTCATCGGAGACGTCCCAGAAAGCCCCATGACAGCACAAGAGCGCTCCAAGAGTGACCGACGTGACCTCAAGACGGCCCAAGAGGCCTCGAGGACAGCCCCAAAGAGGCCTCCTTGAGTACTCCCAAGAAGGCCCCAAGAGGCAACAATCATTGATTTTCTGTTGTTGTTTTGTTAATGTTGGGGTTTTCCTTTTTTCGGCTTCCCGACGCTCCAAGACGGCGGTCTTCTGGGCGTCCGAAGCCGCCTGGGGGGGCTCCAAAAACGTCCCACAACCATCCGAAAGGGCTTCCAGGCAGTCCGAGAGAGCCCCAAAACGGCACAACAGGGGTCCAATATGGCGCCCAGAGAGCCCCATGGCGGCCCAAGATGGCCCCAGGACACCCTCTGAAACATTCCAAGTCGTGACCCGGTCGTTAGGGAGACCGCGGTTGGAGGCAGGGTGGCCCGAGGAACCCCCCAATGGCCCCCAGAACACGCCCAGGAGGCCTCCAGAAGGCCTTTGGAAAGCCTGAAACAACTTTTGTGAGGCCCCCGGAAGCTCTCCAAAGAGGAGCCTCCGCAAAAAAGAGATGAGGAGGATGGGGAGAATGTGCAGGGCATTGCGAAAATGAGGAAAAAGAAGCATGAACGAAGGATAACGAAAAACATTATCATAGCGGCGATGCCGGAAAAAAAAACAAGGAGTTCTCGCTAAATTGGCGGCTGGTCCTTCCTGTTATTCTGCCTGCATACCAAACTTCAAGGACCAATGTGCACGGCGCGAAGCGCCACTGCAGTCTGGTGTGTGTATATATATATATATGTATATGGACGCCCCGCACCTCCAGTATCATACCTTTCCCCTTTCCGTTCTCGTCCCCCTCGGCGTTTCTTTCTTTGCCGTGGTCTCTACTCTCATCTCCCGCGGGCGGAAAACTCCGCCCGCCGCCCCGAGGAAGGCCCATGGGGCCGAACGAGAGAGGAAACAAAGGGGGAAACATGGAAGAGGCATCAACCTGTGCTTTCACGGGGAATATGCACACACACATATATATATACATATATATATAGGCATGCACACACATATATATATATATATTTAATGTATGTATACATTTATATATGTATACATATATATGTATATGTATACATACATGTTTGTATGAATGTATGTATGTTGTAGGTAGGCAGGTACGTATGTATGTATAAACATATTATATATATATATATATATATCTATATATATATAGATATATATATATATATATATAAAAAAAAAAAAGTCAGCCTCCGAAGGCGGGGAAGAGGAGAAAAGGAAACAACTCTTTCCTTTTTCCCATTGGGGGAGACGGGGGGGGGCAGAGGAGGGGGAGGAGGATTTGTTCCTTTTGACGTCCTCCCCGCCTTCAGAGGCGGAATTGTCTTCCTCTTTTTCCTTGTGAGAACGCAGGGTTGTTCCTCTGCTTCTTGCTTTCCCCGTGTTCCCTGTCTCGCCCAGCCCCTCGGGGCCTCCCCGCCGCCCCGGGGAAGGCCAGAAAAAAAAGGAAAAAGAGCGAAATAATAAACAACCTGCGTTGTCACAGGGAACGAATAATTAATGCAAAAACTCCGCCTCCGAAGGCGGGGAGGAGGGCGCAAGGAAACAACTCGTGCCCATTTTCCCACTGGGGGAGGCGGGGGAGGGGGGGGGGAGGGCAGAGGCGGAGGAGAGTGTTGCCATATCTCCTCTTCGCCGCCTTCGGAAGCGGAGTTTCCCCGACTGGGGCGGAGAGAAAGAGGGGCAGGAGACGAGGAACGCTGGTTTTCAGTCGCCTCTACGAAGACAAGCGCGAACAACGCAGCTGCAGACTGGGGTGCGCTCGTTGTTGCGCAACAAACACAAACTTTGTGGATGGCTGAACCACGCCCCTCGGGTAATCTGGAAGACATCCTTCGGACAGCTGATTAGCACTGCGTGGCATACTGAAAGCGAACGAACTTATAACAACCTGCGCGGCCTCCAGCCGCTAACGCCGCGCAGCATTTCTATTCGAGTAAAAAACATTACTCCCATTACTCCGCTGGCACGTGCCCTCTCTCATCGCCAACCTATGCATCGCCTCCATCGATCACCGCCACCGACATCGTCGCGCCCCACTTGTCAGCGACGGTCATCACCGCCGCGCGGAGCTCGCCCATGGCTTCCCCAAGGGTCAGAAGCACGGCGCCGTCAAACATGTGCGCGTTCACCAACGCGCCGTCGACGGACGTCACCTCCTTCTCCAAAGCAGCCAAGATCGAACCCCCCACAGAACCCACAGCGTAGTGGAGCTTGGATGCGGCGGGGCAGCGGCGGTTCTCGAAGCGGCCCTCCAGGTAGCTGAACTTTCCGCATGCCAGCGACACGCCCACGACTTTGTGCACGTGCACGGCGAGATTCCACAGGAACGGGAGGTCGCACGTCGGCTTCCCCAAACGGACGATCGTAACGATGAGTTTCTTAGCCCCCTCCGGCGACGTGCGCATGCAAGCCGCGAGGAACGAGCGCCACATCTTGCCGTTCCACCTGTTTGCCGCAATTCCTGCCGTCATTGCACCTGCGTTCGTAGCCGCGCCCACTCGCCCACTGCTCGATGCAACGATCGCCGAGAGAGCGGCGGGGGCGGTTGTTGCATGTGGTTTTCTTCTCGCTTCCAGGGACCGTTGCAGGGCGCCCCGCTGCGAACGTTTTCGCGGTTCGCTGGATGGACGAAACAGAAGCCGCAGCGAAGAGCAACTGTCGCAGGCCAGGCTTTCGAGCCAAAGGCTACGGCACGTAGCAGAACAGGAAGAGGCAGCAGGGGAAGCGAGGAGCAGCAAAAGGGGAGAGCAGGAGGAGGAACGAGAACAAGTTGGAGGGAAGTCCTCTAGTAGTTCGTTTTCCTCCTCGGGGCCGCCCGACATACGGATGCCCGAAAAGGTCGCAGGTTGCTGCGCGGGGGGCGCCCGTTTGTCGGACGCCCGAAAAAAAAACCACCCCCAAGGGTGGGTGCTCGCGCCGCTGCAGCCCCAACTGTTGTTTGCATCGATGAGCCTGGCCTCCGTTCAGCGCAGCGTCTTCCGCGCCTTGGTCAAGGTGCCCCTTGTCTTGAGGAGCTCCGAAGTCTTGTCGATGAGTTCCTCGCCTCTCTGTTTCGCGTCCTCCTCGCGTCTCCGCTTCTCCTTGCGGAGCGCGCAACCCGAGACTCGCGCAGCGCGCGTGGCACACGGCACGACGCAGCGCCCGACGCGACCCGCAGCACTCAACACGGCACCTGATGGCACGTCGCGGCACGCGCGCGGCACGGCGCGCAGCAGCCCACTCGCGAGGTTCAGGTGGCACGCCCGCGCTCCTCCAGGTAGGCCTTTTTTTCCACGCGTCGGCCTCCTGCCAAGCCAATGTGTTGTCCTCTGCTAATACTGTTATGCTGCTTCTCTTTGTTGGCGGCCCGCATGTGCTGGTTTGAGCGCCTCCTATGGGATCGCGCAAGTTCCCGCGCCGCGTGACGCACCGCGCCGCGAACGACACATCACCCGACAAAGCGCAGCAAGCGGCAACGCACTCGACGCGGCGCGGCGCGGCTTTGTCCCGAATGGTCCGGAAAATCGCCGGCCTGGCTGCGGAACTCCGCCGCTGCCGCGCGCAGCCGTCCAGCGGCCGCGCGCGCCCCCGCCGCCATGATGCGGCGCGCGCGCGGCTGCTTAAGGAAAGCAGCCACGGGCTCCCTCGCGGCGCGTTCTTTTGCATTCGCGTCCAGCTTGCGCTGGTAAGCGGGTTTCTTTTCTTAGGGGGCCCCATGACTTGATCGCGACGTGGCTAGAATATGAAAGCGCGGTTAAGAAGGATAATGAGACCAGAGCGAAGGGCGCGGGGGGGGAGGATGAAGAGGAGCAGGCGAGGGAGGAGGAGGAGGAGCAGGAGGAGGAGGAGGAGAGGAGGAGGAAGAAGAGGAGCAGGCGAGGGAGGAGGAGGAGGAGGAACAGGAGGAGGAGGAAGAGGAGCAGGCGAGGGAGGAGGAGGAGGAGGAGGAGGAAGCTCGGGAAGCTCGACCAAGAGGGGGTCGGAGCAGTGCTGCGCCCCCCCACGTGCAGATTACTGGTAATCTGAAGAGATTATGATCTGCGTCGACGGGGGGGGGCTTTGAGCGAGCCGCCTACACTCCCGTCGGTCCTCCTCCCAAAATCCTTGGCCGAGCTGCCGACCACTGGCGTGGGAGCTGATCCGCCACCCCCCGCAGGGGGCATGGGCCACGCCATCCCCGCGTTCGGGGTGAGGCCGCGACGGAGACGGTTGATCATAGTCTGGCCAGAGGGGGCGCGCTCCTGGGGGCACTCCTGGGCCAGTTTACAGAGACGCCCCCCCAGCGACAATGGGGGCGCACCTGGCGCACCTCCAGCACCAGGCCGGACCATTCTGCACAGCAATAGAGTGGGAGGGGTGCACACTGCGGGCTCCCACCTTCAACTCTCGGATACAGGTGGTGGGGGGGGGGGGCGTGGACTTGGCGGCCCTGCTCGCTCAAGCCCCTCTTACATACATCCCCGCGACACGCGCTGCACTGGAGCCAACCGGCCAACGAGAGGCGCCACGGTGTTTGTCGGCATTTGCTACAGGCCCACCCACCAGTGCTCAGGCGGGGCAGGGCATGCCCCGAGCGGGCCTCGAGCTCCTCAATTCGCCCCAGGCCCGCAGTGGATCCGACCGAACCGTCCGCCCCGCCGAGCCGATTCGCGCGAGCCCCCCGTTCGACCTCCGCACAAATCGGGGCCAAGACCGCACCGATGCGCTGGTGTACGAGGGTCGCGCGGGCGTCGGCCACCTGTAGGGCCTTGGCATGGGCTCGAACTGGGGGGGCGGCATTCTCGGCCCCCCGCTGGGCCCGGGCGTCCGCGAGCTCATTGCCGCGAGAGCATCGAGGACCCCGGCCAGCGCGCACGTGGAAATCTGCATCCAGGTGCGAAAAGATTTTGCGCAGGCGGACATTCTGGCCCCCCCGCTGTTCGAGGGCCGACCGAATTCGGGCCCACCATTTGGCGCGGCATCCCATGGAATATTGGGCATTCCCTTGGACCCAGCCGTTAAAGACCAGCTGGCAGTCGGTGAAAATGTCCAGGTCCCCCGTGGAGAGCTGCAGCGCCCTCCAGAGGGCAGCCAATCCGCGACGGGGGCCGTCTGGTCCCCGTCGACGGTCCCGAAGAATCCAGAGAACTCGCCGTCGTCCGCTTCCAGCTCCGCCCACTCACTCGCAAAGTAGACACCCCACCCCACACGACAAACACGGGCATCGCTGGAAGTGGCCGACCCGTCCAGGAATGCCAGGCGTGCGCGGATGGGGTATTCGCCTGTTCCTACATTGAATGAGACTGCATTCGTGAGGGCAGGAGTGGAGGAGGGAAGGACGTCGCTCGAAGAGGAGTCGAGGATCGGGGGGAGGGTGCCGATTGCCCAAACGCCCAACCCCTCTCCAAGAGTTCCAGGCGGGCGGCGGCGGCACGGCAACCCATTCTGGGGGAACTATCCCCCTGGTCCAGTATGCAACGTGACGATTGTCCAACAAATCTTTTATCGCATGCTGGCGGAGGCCCTCAGTGCGCACGATCCAGGGTTCCCCCATCTCGCAGGTGGCCTCGCAGAAGTACAGCCTGTGCTCGATGGTGTCCTTGCCCTCGCCACAGCGCTCGCATTCGTCGGAGCACTGGTAGCCTGCCGCCTGCGCCCTTGCACCCGTCCAGATGCCTGCCAGCGCTCCAGCCTCCAGAGCGCCAGCCTCCTTGTGGCGCTCCTGGCGGCGCATCCTCCTCAGGTTGACCCGCAGCATGTGGAGGTCGCCGCCGTCGCCGAAGCCCGCTCCGAGGGGGTAGTCCCCTGCCTGCGCCACAGCTGGCGCGTGCCGGTTCTCTTGATCGCCTTCACCAGGTCCTGCACGCTGTCGTCCTGGTTGCCGAGGTGCCGCCACTCGGAGCCCTCGTCGTCGATCCAGACGTCAGGCGCCCGAGGTATCCAGCCGATGTCACGTAGTGCCAAGATGATCGCGCCCAAGTGACCTCCTGGTTGTGCGCAATGATGTCTTTCTTCTGCAAAGCAGCGCGATCCAAACGAAACAAGGTGCCTGGGCGTTTGAAGAAGTCTGTTTGGACGGACATCCTTGCTTTCTCAGCACCCGCGATTGCTCCGGCGCAAATGATGACGCCGAGATCAACAGCGGCACCTTTGTCGATACTGGCTACTATCGACTTGACGTCCTCACTCCCGGGTTTAAATTTCGAGAGCTGGACGAACAAAGAGCCGTTCGCAGGCACCACCGCGGACTTCGAGATCAAGGCGCTCAACCGGTTGCTCATGATCACAGCGTGGGCGCGGTAGCTCGGGCCCTCGGGGATACAACTAATGAGGCGGACATAAACGGTGGAGCCGGAGACCGAAGGCAAACGAAAGAAGTCGACGTCTTCAGGTACCTTGCTGAACAGTTTCCGCTGGACGGTAGTCCAAGTGACTCCGGCAACGTCCTTGAGCCTGTCCTTGTGTGCATTCAAGCGGTCCCTCGTAGCGACCTCATTGATGTCGAGATCCCCCCTCGTCCGTTGACTTTGCACGCTGCTCGATTATATTTTCTTCGTGATCATCTAACATCTCTATCTTCCCCTCAACGGAGGACTTCATGAGGTTGCCGAATGTCAGGTCATCTGGGGTATGCAGCAGTCCAAAGACCACCGGTTCGGGGACGCCGGCAGAATGCTCTTCCACCTTCGCCAAGAATTCACGTTTAAACTTATGCCTGGCAGGAGCAGGAGGATGAGGAGAGGAGGAGGATGAAAAAGAGCAGGCGAGGAAGGAGGAGGAGGAGCAGCAGGAGTAGGAGAGGAGGAGGACGAGATTGGAGATTGGAGATGGGAGCGAAAGCCAAAGGTATGATACTGGATAGGGGGTATCTGTTTACGTATATACACACAGTTGGGCAGCAAAAAACAACAAACATCCATACAACACGTAAATACATTACTACATGAAAACATAAACAACTACATACATATATGCATACATCATGCAAAACTGAATACTAGCATGCATGAAACAGCATACACATACGTTAATGAAGAATAAAGGAATTAACGCTTACACAAACTAAAAACACGTAAACAAATAAACAAATGAATAAATACATCCATGCACATATATATATATATATATACAGAAAGGAGATCCTGGGCCTGGGGCCCCGGGGCGGTCCCTCCCTCGTATGTCGGTCCCCCTTTTCCCTGGGGACCTCCCCGGGCGACCCCCGGAGCTCCCAGAAAGCCCGATAATCTTTCGAGACCACGCAAGATAGCCTGCGACTGGCCCTCAAGGCCCGCAAAAGCGTCCCACGAGAGCTCCACGACGGCCCTAGATGACACCGCGACAGTTCCACAGGCGCCCCAGGAGCAACAAAATGCTCTCAAGAAGAAACCTCCCGAGGCGGCCTCCAGAAGCCCAAATAGGAAAGCGTGCATTTTCCGCACATTCGCTTTGGGAGTCTTCACGGCGTCCCACGCAGCCCCAAACGCCCCAAAGATCGCCCCAAGACGGTCCAACACGCCCCAAAGTGGGCGCCAAGATGGCCCAAAAGGGCCCCAAGCCAGCCTCCTTTCCCGGGACCGTCCTTTTGTTTGGTGTGCACACGTCTGTTGCACAACCTTCGGCGACACATCGCCGATGGACCGGCGATAGGCCCCCGACAGCAAACCCGCACCATCCTGGGCGGGGTGGATCGGCGAGAAATGGGCGACTGGAGGTCGATGCGCTTCCTCCTGAGCCGATCCTCTCCAAATGATCCGCGTCGTCTTGTTTTCGGTGCAGAACTCGGGGCTGCGGCGGCCATCCGGGACGATCCGGGCACCCCCGGACGCCTCTAGGCGAGACGCAGTTGCTGAAACGCATCCCGAGGCAAGCAAACTTCCAGGAACCGACGGCACCGTCGGAAAACTACCCTGAGCTTGTGCCCACCGGTCGTTGACCCTGAGCCAATCCCCTCCTAACGTTGCTCTCGAGGAGGAGGAGGAGGAGGAGGAGGAGGAAGAGAAAGGAGGAGGAGGAAGGAGGAGGAGGAGGACGCCGAGGGCCCCCGGTGGCCTCCGTGAGCCACGTCAGCGGCCACACAAGGTGCAGCAGCGCCAGCGCCGCGGTTGGGGCCGCCATGGGTGTGGATGCGCCGACGCCGCTGCGGAGCGCCTGAGGGTCGCCCTCGTGCTTGTCGTCGTCGTCGTCGTCGTCGTGGTCGTCGTCGTCGTCATCGTCGTCGTCAACGTCGTCGTCGTCTTCCTCCTCCTCCTCCTCCTCCTCCCCCCTCCTCCTCCTCCTCCTCCTCCCCTCCTTCATCCTCCCTCCTCTTCCTCCTCCTCCTTCTCCTCCTTCTCCTCCCTCCTCCTCCTCCTCCCCCTTCCCCCCTCCCCTCTCTCTCCTCCTCCTCCTCCTCCTACCTCCTCCTCCTCCTCCTCCTCCTCCTCCTCCTCCTCCTGCTCCCTCCTTCTCCTGGACTGCGACGACCACCAAGAGGATGCGTCCCCGATCGGGTGTAGTCGTCGTGGTCGTGGTCGCCACCTTCCTCGTCTGTGTTGCCGTCGTCGTCGTTGTCCTCGTCCTCGTCCTCGTCGTCGTCGTCGTCGTCCTCCTCCTCCTCCTCCTCCTCCTCCTCCTCCTCCTCCTCCTCCTCCGACTCCTCCATCCGACTCCTCCTGCTACTCCTCCTCCCCCTTCAGATCAGGGCGACGCGAAAAGAACGCGACGGCGCCAATTATATTCTGTGTCTTCGGCCCCGGGAGGCCGCGGGGCCGTCGAACAACGGCTCAGAACAAAAAACAAAAAAAAGGCCGCGGGGGAGAGGGTCGAGAATTCGATGGGCCCCTTAACTCGGGATCCGACATACGTACTTTGGCTTCTCTCCCAATTTAAATCGTATCGGAAATGCACTCCAAAATCGTGAGAAGCACGTACAGCGGAAAGTGCCGCCTCAGAAACATAAAGCGGTACTGTAACGTCCCCCATATGATTTTGACAAGTTGCGGGACTTAGTGAAACATTACACCTCTGTGTACAACTTTTGGAACATGGACAAATTCAGGAGGGCACCAGACGTGTGATGGAAACGGCGACAGACAAGTACGGCGGACATCAACACCAACGGAGCTTGAACAGTAGAGCAGAATATGCCGCCCTTTTCGGACATGGCCCAAAGTAGGGCAGATCAGGAGTTGCAGCCACGTCGCAAAAAATGCGTCGTCGGAGGAGAGGGTCGGGAACGCACTGGCCCAGGTCAACGCAAGCCCCGGTCAATGAAGCCTTGCACGATCCTGCAAGGTCCTGGCACTGCAGGATCCTGAACGCTGGCCCGGGTCAACGTAGCCCTGGCTCTGCAGGATCCTGCAACATCCGGCGCCCTGGCTGACCCCCGCTGGCATTGGACCCCGTCCCCTGCGCCCCGAGAGTGCCCCCCCTCCTCTTACCAGCCTCGGACGTATCCCTATCCCTAAGATTGACACGCCAAAAGGCGATGACAATCTTAGGGATTCGCCCTCAAAGAATAAGGGGATCCCTAAGATTGGCATCGTGATGATTGGGCGCCCGAGTTATCCGGGGTAACTCGGGTCCGGGGTAAGTCGGGTTTGGATTCCCGAAAAAGGAACCCGAGTTAGCCCTGACCCGAGTTACCCCTGATGATTCCGGGCTCTGGACGCCCGAAATATCCGGGGTAACTCGGGTCTGGGGTAAGTCGGGTTTGGAATCCCGACAAACGAACCCGAGTTAACCCTGACCCGATTTACCCCTGATGATTCGGGGCTCTGAGATGAGGCGATGCCGAACATAGGGATAGGGATATGTTCCAGGCTGGGAATCCTCCTCGGCCCGGGCAGGCGCCGAGCTATATTCTCGAGCCTCTGGGAGCGCTGGCCGCCGGCAGGCCGCCCGGGGCCTGGTGCTCTCCCTGACCTTCCGGGGAGCCATTTTTTAGCACTGGAAGCCCAAAACCCTAAAAACTAAGCGAAACAGCCGAAAACCAAGACGTAGAATAGCTCTGGAGTAGGTTTTTCAGTCGGGCGCTACTTTTTAGCCCTCCTGGAAGGTCAGGGCTTCCCGCCTGCAGCACCCGTGCCTGGAAGCGACCCTGCGATGGCTGCACCCGAGCGGCCGACCTTGCGGGAGGCGTCGCTGCAGGGCAGACCGGCGGCGCGCACGAGGGGGTGTCGGGGGAGGGGGGAAGGCTCTCATTACCAGCCTCGGACGTATCCCGATCCTTTAGATTGACACGCCAAAAGGCGATGACAATCTTAGGGATTCGCCCTCAAAAAATAAGGGAATCCCTAAGATTGGCATCGTGATGAGGAGGTGCCCAGCATAGGGATAGGGATATGTTCCAGGCTGGTAACAGAGGGAGGCTGCTCCTCAGAAAGCGCCGCCCTTACATCTGCATAGACCTGGCCCGCGCCCTCTGAGCCAGCAGGGGCGCGTCCAAGAAGCCCTCCCCCCTCCCCCTGCCCCCCTCCGCGCGTGGCTGAGTGCACCCCTGAGTGTACCCTGGGCACGGCGACCCCAGGCTCCATCTCGGGTCGGGCGAAAGGGGGGGATAGCAAAGGGGGGGGGGGAGAATCAGCTCACGTAGCTGATTTTCCCGGCGCCTCCCGGCGCCGGAGGCGGCTATGTATATCGAGGAACGGGCCCCTCGGCGAAGCCGAAACCAGCTGCATGCAGCAAATCTCGTACCCCCCCCTTCCCAATCCCCCCCTTTCGCCCGGCCCGACCATCGTGCCAGCAGCCCTGGACGCCGACAGGGCACTGCCAAGAAGCCCTCCCCCCTCCCCCTGCCCCCCTCCGCGCGTGGCTGAGTGCACCCCTGAGTGTACCCCGGGCACGGCGACCCCAAGCTCCATCGTGGCAGCAGCCCTGGACGCCGACAAGGCACTGCTGGAGTCGGAGCCGGCCGCGCACCGCCTCGCGCCGAGTGCGGCCCGAGGAGCGCTGGCCGTGGCCGCCGGCCTCGACCATAGAAAAACACGAGGCGCGGCGAGGGCGAGCAGCTCCTCCTCCTCC